AGTTGTGTTAAAAATAAAACAAATGTCTAATAATATTTTAACCGATATTGGGAATTGGAATCGCAGTCAGTCATTTATAGCCTTTTGCATGGAAATCCCTGTGTACTATGAACACCATTTAGAAAAGACATTTGTTATGCAGTACATTTATCTGTCAGACACTATGGGCTAAAAACCACTTGAGGAAAAAGTGAAGCACTTTGTCTGCTTTGGGAATTTTGACTGCAGAACTCAATTTATTTTAACAGCATATCACCTTTTCTTTAGCAGTGTGATATGAACCCCAAAAGGACTGCAGTTCTATCTTCAGACATTGTCAACAGTCTGCTAAGAAAATAGTTCACAAGGATAACTGGTGAAAGTTTGTCCAGTTTCCTATCTTCCCCAGTTTACTTTCTAGGAAATGTGCCTCACAGCTTGGTGACTTTTAACACTCATGAGCAGGCTTTGCTTTTTTTCCTACCAAGAATTCAATATGAGGGAGTCTCAGTCCTTGCTGTGACTGCTCAGTTAGAAAAACATGGCTAGAGCTGAAAATAATCACAGGAACAGATGGCCAAGCTCTTTCTCCACATCCCTGTGAGAAGATGGATGGCAAGCGACTGGTGTCCGTCAGAATTAATAAACATCTCTTAATGTCTAGGATTATAGTTGGTTTATCTGTGAAATATGTCTTCATTTGTGACATAATCCATTTTGCAGTTTTGGTATTCCTTCTTTGTAGCCCCAGGATTTGAATGAAGCTTTCAGTTTATTTGGAGATAATGGATAACTGGAAGAGGTTTCATATAAGCACATGCTATATGAATTATAAGTCTTTTTATTGTGAAAGAGTGTTTGTGTCATTCTTTAGTACAATTGCTGTGTTCAACATTGTAGTTTATGCAGTAATTTTGCCAAGGACAGCCCTGGCTACAAAATAAAATGTTCTTCTATCCCATGACTCCCACCCATCTTTTATGTTTTACAAAATGTCATACTTTGGAAACAGTGCTTTTATGTCACTGCAGTACTGTATGTAGAGCATTAGTCTTGCAAAAACATCCTTCGTGGCTGTGGAAGGAAATCTTTTGTATTTATTGTTTAGTTGACGCTTATAAAAAAGTGATTCTTTAAATAAACTGTTAACAAAGGAATTTAAACAACAAAGGTGGCATGATGAACACTATAATACAAATACTACAGTACATACAACAATGGCATAGAGTGCAAACACATGGAACACATGCAGCAATGCAAACACTCAATATTTTATCTGCTACAGTCCCTTTGTAACAGTTTGCCAGTGAGCACTTAACATATTTGTTTTGTAATTAAGAATATAGCAATATTACAGATAATGTGGGCACAGAGGAGAGGAAAACAAAGTCCTAGTGGCAGAAAATAAACATCTGGGTGTCCCAAGCCTGATGGTTGCTACCTCTTAGAAGTGGATTTTTTGGGACTTTGATCATCATAAGCCTTTGACAATCTTTACAAAGTCCAGAGTTGTTATCCTGCTCTTCTGAGCCTAACACGAGGGACATCTCAATGAAGTAGTTGACATTTCCTGTGTCTGCCGTCTTGGGCCAGATTCTGATTTCACAGCTCTTCGGGACATGCATGCTTAGGATCGGATCCCAGCATCGCGATCTATCAGGCAGTGGGTAAATAAAATGATGAAAAGGTGTGTTGTAGTAATTAGCATCTAGAAAGACGCAATTTAAGGTGAATGCAATGATGTAGCATGAAGCACAGAAATCAAATTCTATATAAAAACACTAAAATGGTTACAGATGAGTGGAGGCCAATTGGCCCATCTAGCCTGTTTGATATTTTCAATTTAATCCAAGGATTTCACCCAGCCTTTTCCTAAAAGAAGAAGGTTATCACCTTCAGCAGAATAGCTGGGTAGCTGAGGCCATACTCCCACAAGCCTTTGCATAAGAAAGAACCTCCTTTTTTGTTTTTAAATACATTTTCATATATTTTCCAATTAATCCTGTAGTTTGTTTTTTTTACCGTTGATTCAGGAAAATCCTCTGGGTAGACAGTCAGTGCCTTGAATGATTTTGAATATTTGGATTAGATCCCATGGTAACCTTCTTGTGTACAAATGTTAAATTCCTTCAGTCTGTCATTGTAGGACATTCTTTTAATTATTTTGTTTTCCCTTAATGTAATATACATTAGAGTTTAGAATACAAAATTAGCCCCAGAATGGATCCCCGTGGAACACCTGATATTACATTTGTTTTAAAGATAATTACCCAGTTTTTACAAAGTGCTGAATGAAAGTTTTGAAACTCATATTTTTTTCCCCCAACTTCCTTGTGTCAAAATGGTGCTTCTGCCAAAATTCTAGATTTTTTTTTTAATTCTGTGGTTCCATTATTCTTTCATTTTGTTTGCATTTACTGTAACCAGCACAGAATATTCGAGAGGAAAAAGGAAGTGAAATTGAAATTTCAGGAGTGTTGAAGAATGCAGAAAGGAGGGGAAAAAAGAGTTATACGCATTTTATTTTAAGTGGTTTGATGTCAGCCCTTTCTGTTGATACTGAAGTGAGTGCTGTGACAGAGTAAAATATTTATTTATGAAAAATACATCTACCGGGGCAGTTGCAGAGCTGATTGAATAGGTGCAGTGAACTGGCCAAGGAAGAGAAAAGACTTTAGGGAGCTTGACTGCAGTGGTTTATATTAGTTTTATTTCCTTAGGCGGTTGTTCTCACAGCAGGATTTTTTAATTGACTTTATATCTAGGGGTAATTTGACTATGGGAACTCCATGAAAGCATCTGTACATATGTATAGTGTTGTGTAAGTGGAGTCTTTGCAAGGTTATTTGGCTTATTTAGTAAACTGTAATGTGAAAGTTGCACCTTGTAGCAACATATGCACATTGTTAGTAGCATTGTATGGAGAGGGCACCAGGTTGTTTCATGGAGTTTTAACAAAAGCAAGAGCAGGGCAGCCTGCATTACTATCCTTCAGAGATCTTGCTCACTCAAATCAATATGATTTTGCCCATTTGGTAATTAGTAACTAGTTAATATGAGGATCTCATTCATTTGCACTTGAAAGATGCCAAGGTATCAGCTTAACTCAGTCTGGCTGGGTGGCTTGTCCCATAACACTTTGCATAGAGTTGTCCCTATTCTGACCTCTGGTTCATGTTTCCTTATTGATATTGCAGGGTTTTGCAGGGTTGTACTAGGTTGACTATCATTTTCCTTCCAGGATTTTTAATGCTCCTTGTAGTGTTCTCTGTTCAAGAATATGATTTCAGTCTCTCAGTGTAGGATGTTCCTTTAACCTGTGTCCCTCCCTGGATTGCTTACAGGGCAATAATATTGTACACACTATTCTACATGTGACTAGTGCATTGTACAATTTTAACGGCAATACTTTAAAATGCACACTTTTAACAATATTCACCCACCCCCAAGGTCATAGGACTTAACTTGCATATATTTGCCATTATGTAAAACCCTCTCCTGGGTCCCAAAGTAACCTTTTGGATTTATAGAAAGTTTTCGATAGATACTTAAAGAGCAAGTAGCACAGTAAGTTCTTGCTGCAGATTAATAGCGTGATATAAACGTAATGTGGTCACCATCATCATCCACCAGGGCACTCTGTTCACGTTGTTCTTGCACACATGTGGCAGCCTCTGTTTATGGTGGTTTTTCCAATTGTGAGTAGCATGAAAGATGCCAAACAAACTACTTCTTTTATGCACAGATTTTAAATTTCATTAAAGACTCGGAGATCTACAGTATTCTAGGCCACGCTTCTCTGCTTTTGATATGTGGTGCTATACCTCTCCCTCTTCTCTCTCTGCAGAATAGTGTGTATTCACTAATGTTGCATTCATTTTCATCGCTCTCAATTAGCCATGTTCCTGTGGTTCCAATGGCCTCATAATTGCCTGCTAATGTGGTAGTTTCTATCCTGTGCATTTTGTTTATAATGCTTCTAGCATTTTTAGGTGTTTTCTCCGAGAACAGTTTCTTAAGTCCTTCAGCACTTCTTTATCTGGTCCTTGGTTTTCTTTTCCCCTGGGTCCTCCTTTTGTCTTTATTCAACCCATGCCCGTGAGTCTTTCTTAGATTGTCTCCCTTCTTTCATTCTTGAAAGTTTCTTTGTGGTTCTGAAATGTTTCAAGATCATTCATCTTCAGTGTTTCTGGATCTGTTTGTAGATCCTTGTGCTGAACTGGCTGTGCCCATCTCATTCAGATGTAATCTGTCCACATCAATGCCAGTCTAATGTTTCCAGTGGTTAAGAAAGTCGAGGCCACCTTTGCACAACATGTGCTCATCCATGTGTTATATTGACAGATTAATATGTGAAGCTGTTTGCCTTTGCCCAATGCTAGGAGGACTCCTGAAGACTGGTTGGGTCCATGCTCATTTTGTTTTAAAGGTGTTTAAATGTGATAGAAACTGTGCTGTTATACCAGTGTCATGTATGCCAACATGTATAACAGCTGGATTGTTATCTGCCATAGCTAGAGGCATGTCAGTTCTTTTGATGATATCAGATACTCGAGGCCAGAGAGACTGTACTGTTGCGTCCAGTGCAAGTCCGCTGCATACAGAAACACTGAATGACACCTTCAGCCTGCTTTGATGTGAGCTTTACTTCTGCAACAGAATCATTTTGAAGATGTCCCACAATGCAGGTTTAATGGGATTTAGCAGTAAACAAGCACAGTGGGACAGGTGTCTTCCTCCTTTTGGAGCTCGTTTTATGTTCTTATTAATAATGGGGGTCAGCTGGACATGCAGTAGCTCACGTGCTGTTTGTGGTATAAAGTTTTAATTTCTAATCCTTCCGTTTTCCCTATCCAGCCAAAGTCCTTGATGGGATCGCAGCCAATACTCAGAATATTATTGTCTTAGAGGAGCATTGGCAGACATACATGGCCACTTTGAGATGAGAAGTTTGATTTTGTTCAGTAGGCCTTACCAGTGATCACTCATGGTCACTTATTGTATGTCTTCATATATTTCAGGAACTTTCCGCTGTACGTTTTGCCAGACAGAGGTAGAGGAGGATGAGTCTGCTTTGCCAAAGAAGGATGCACGGACACTGGTGGCCAGGTTCAATGATCAAATAGAACCGATCTATATCCTCCTCCGAGAGACGGAGGAGATCAATCTGTCTTATGATTTACTGGAACCGGAGCCTGCTGAGATCCCAGCTCTCAAGCAAAGGTTGGTAACTGAGCATCATATTTTTATGGTGAAAAGCAAAAGGTCATATTGAAATTGTTACAATTCAGTAATGCTTCCAATCACTATCAAGTTTACATCATTGTTTGTCATCACGTTTGTCATTAATACAGCTTAAGGTTTAGTATTTTTTCCTGCGAAATTCAGTAATTATAAATAATGTTTGCAAAATGTATCTTACATTAAGTAAGATCAAAAATACAATCTTGGTTCACTATTTGCTGATGTTGTCTTTTCATAATGTAATAGAAAACTGCTAAATCTTCCTAGACAGGATAACATGATGATGGACTTAAATTTATAGGAATGCTGAGCCATGGTTCAATTCATTTGTAAGTGTGTTCTAAGGCCAGGTTTAAAAGAGTAATGAATTCCATTTCCAGTGGACTTTGGCTGTACAAAGCCTCTTTCACCTCATAATTTGATACCAAAGATCTCCACTGAAGGGTTTAAAAGTGTTTGCATGAATGGACTGAATAGCTGTTTTTCAGTTGCGATAAGGATTCAATGAGGGGAGAATGTGTGGTTAAAGGCAAGAAATGTGTCTTCCATTTCACAAAGCACCTCATATAAAAACATCTAAGCCTTGTTTTTCTTGTTGGTGACGCTATTGTATTTCTTCTGCTCCTCCAGTAGGGAGCGGGCAGCTGCAGCTGCAGCTGGAGCAGCCTCTGGGCCCCATAGGGAGAACTGGGCTACGAAGGGCTCTGCCTATGAGGATCTCTACACACAGAAAGTCATCATTAGCATGGAGGAGCAGGAGGATCAGAAACGGCTGGCTGGAGAGGGGAAGACACCCAAAGAAAGGCCCATCTGGTTGACAGAGAGCACTGTCCAGGGTGCATACAGCGAGCTTGATGATATAAAGCACAGTAAGTCAGCCCAACTGCTGTTCAGTTAAGGAACATTTGCTACAAAAGATTTATTGCTATGTGTAATTTTCTCAGAAGGCTGTTGTGTACCCATAAAAGGTGAGTAACATATTAACCTTTTGCTGGGCTTGAAGGTGGTTTGGATGGACAGTGCAAAAGGTACACCCCCCACCCCCTTACCTCCAGCCTCCTTGACTCCTGTTGTGATCCTGTTACTTTGCAGAGTTCAAACTGTCTGTTTACAACTCAAGATGAATACATCCAGAAGAAAAACAAAAAAGTAAAGACCAAAATGATAGTAGCCTATCGGATAGCGTCATTATCAGACTTGTTTGTACATGCCATGATGTGTGTGCCCTGCAAATTGTCCTGTGCTCTACAAATGCTGAGCAATTAGTGAATCTTACAGTTTTGCTAAATATTTAGCATAAACGCCTTCAATGGAAAATATTTTTGAAAGAGATTTTCAAAAACTGCAAATAAGCTTTAAAAAGCTTTAAAAGACAATGTCTCTAATTTAAAGTCGCCAGAAAAGAAACCTTTAATCATTTTGCGGTGGTTTGTTTTGGTCTTGCAGGGTGATGAGTGGTGTTGATTTCATGTTAGTGGCATGTTTTCGTTTTCCTCAGGTGCAGAGGCCATGGACGGGCTGCGGGAGGGCGAAGACGGGCACCACATGCAGCCTGATGAGAACGAGGAGGTGATGCGTGCCCTCCTGATCCACGAGAAGAAGGGCACAGGCTTGGCTGCGGGACTGGCAGGGGCAGCTGCAATGGCTGGGGTGTCCCAGTCAGGCAACCACAGTGACTCGGAGAGCGACACCAGCGAGTCTGACGAGGATTCGCCCCCTCACCCTGCACCCCAGAGCTACCTGAAGAACGAGGAGGAGGACGAAGATGATTTTGAAGAAGTAGGAGAAGAGCCCACCGTGCTGGTGGCTGGCCGGCCCTTCCTGTATCACGAAGTGAGCCAGCGGCCAGAGCTGGTTGAACAGATGACCCCGGAGGAGAAGGAAGCTTATATTGAAATGAGCCAACATCTCTTCCAGGCAATGTATGATTAAGGATCGATTTTTTTTGTGTAAAGGAAGGCAAGTTCTTTTATCCTGTTTTATCTAATCTTCTCTCCTTATCTATGGCAGAAACAATGAAACTGCATATAGCAGAGTGCTGAACTCCTTTAGATAAGGAAGGGGTTGCATTTGGGGTACAAGGCTAAAAGTTTAGAATATACCTGAATCCAATTTCTAAAAATGTAATCAAAGAAAATGTGTAAATGGAGAAAATATTTTGAACTTGGAACCATTTATCACAATAGATGATCAGTATATGCCTAGTTGTTTGCACAGCAGTGGAAGAACAAAGTGCAATGACAGAAATATATTTCACACCTGCTACCTGGAAGTGCCAAGGTTAGGGTTGGTTATCATTGAAATGTAACTATTTGTGCAAGACTTTTTAACACAATTTTTGCATAACCTTAAGCTCTCTTCAGATGAGGTAATGTGCTGCTGACAATGATACTGTTTCCAAGAGTACGTGAGGACACATACACAAAGATTTCCTGTTGTTTTGAATTAAAGAGATTTAAGGCTTCTTTGTAGTAGATATTAATGCCTATGTTGCGCTGTAAAAGGCATCAACCGGCTAATTTTATTTCCTCAGAAGAATTTAATATGTGAGGTTGTGCAGATTTAAGTCATTCCCAGATTTATTTTTTGTAGTGGTATGACAATTCCCAGTTTAAACTGTTAATTATTTATAACCTCCAATCCTAAAGTCACAATGCTAAATCCAGCATTTGTGAAAAAAATATATACAACCCCTTTAATATTTAATTTATTTATTCTGAAGGAGGTCTTGTGAATATTTTCTGGAAACATCTGTAAATAATTGTTTTAACGTTACTTTAATAACCAGAGACATAATAACAAGAAGATATTGCACTGAATAAATCCTTTACTATTGTATCAAGCAAATAATACATATACAATAATACATATACCATGTGCCAGTGGCTTAAAAAAAACCTTTGTTGCATTAAGCTGAGAAGATTAAACAGCTAAACAGTTACTTTCTTTATCAGCACAAAATGAACACTGTGTTTATCCAATTTCCACTTCAGTATTTAAAGAAAAACATATTTGTGAAAGACCTTAAAACTATTTTTTTCCAGCTTGTAGAGAAATCATTTCAGTCATATTTTCTTTCTTAATTGTATAAAGATAAAATGTTTTGTTTTTCCTCCTTTTTTTACGGATACCATAGGTATCCCAACACATTTTTTTTCTCTTAACCAGTTTTTGAACTTAGGTGGGTTTTTTTGAAGATGAATATAACTTGTGACCTTTGTATGGTTGTATCTGTTTATTTTATAAAGGCTTGTTTCAGATTTAAAATAAAAGCCATTGGTATTTAAGCCTGTCTTCAAGTTCTTGGGTGTTATTTTTTAGTTTGTCTTTATATTGTTTCTAAAAAAATGTATAGTGTCCTCCATATTTATTCATGCCCTTGTTAAATGTTTCTAAAATAAATTGTTCAACAGAAAGAAAACGATTGTGGGATATTAATTTTTGTATTTTGGGGCTCGGATTGTAATAAATCCAGTACTCTGGGAGAGGCAGGAACTTAAATCCAGGTGCAGGCTGGTGCACAGAGTGTCAAGACAAAGGTGGAGATGAACGAGGAGCTAGAGTCAGAGATCACACTTGAGAATTCAAAGAGTTTCCAAAAATACAGGCAGGGTTTGTAGCTGGGTAATCTTGAAGCAGAGAAAGCCAGGCAGGATCCCAGTACACGAGGCAGACCAGTAGGTGGGTACTCCCTGGACCCATTAGGAGTCCAGAATTAGCTTGTGTTCCCTCCACTGGTGGGGATGAGGCATGGGATGGGTCCGGAGACAGAATGCTAGTGAGAGCGGACTTTACCAGGGAAACATGGTGGGCCATAGAAGATGTGTCATCCAAGTGCAATGGGAGAGCAAAGCGGTAGGTAACAACATCAATAGTCTGTCACCTTAAATAGGCAAACGAAGACATGCTGACCTTTTCTCTGTTGGGACAGCACGACAGAGGCAGTTGGCAGAGTGCTGCTGTCTCTGGGTACCCTTGAGCAGATGTCTGTGGACATGCTGTCACATTCCTTCAAGGTCCCATGCAGTTGCGTCAGCAGCAGGCATAGCATCCTGGGACAGCCTGAGAAGTGGAGGCTGATAGCCATAGAAGCACTTAAAAGATTACATACCTGTCAAGGTGTTAGCCAGGATGTTCAAGGACAACTTAACCCAAGGTAACAGACTTACCCAATTGTCCTGGAAAACAGAAACATGGTATCTTAGCAAAATTTCCAGGTCCTGGTTCACTACTCCATCTGGCCATTGGACTCTGGGTAATCCCCCCAGGAGAGGTAGACTTGAATGCCTAGATAGTTCCAGAAGGCTCACTAGAACCTGGAAACAAACTGAGGGCTCTGGTAACTTCAGTGGGAAATCCAAAAAGGAAAAATATTTTATTGATGAAGACCTTTGCCATTTGGAGTGCCGATGGAAGCCTTGGCGAGGGGACAAAGTGATCAGCCTTGGAGAATCTGTCAGCTAAGGTGAGTATCAAAGAACAACCCCACGGGGAAGCTCCGTGGTGACGTTCATGGAGATGGACAAATACAGGCATGACAGAGTGGGAAGAGGTGGGAGTAAACCCACTGATGCCAATCGCAGATTCTTTGTCCAGATTCTTTGGTTAGGTCTCTGTTATCAGAGAAGGTCACCAGAATCACCACTGAATAGGTTCTGCTGTACACTCTGTGCCCTGGTATCTGGCAAAGCAGACAAAGCCAAGAAAGATCTGGGCACAGGGTCGGGAGACAAAGCAGGAGATTGCTTCACAGCAGGCTGACAAGGCAAAGCAAGCAAAGCAAAAGCTAATCATAGCAAAACAGTGAAGCTAACATATCCAAGGGAGACCAACAATGACTGAGTGCTGGAGCAGGGTAGCCAGGACTTCAGTACCATGGATGGTAACTAGATAATTGCCATCTAGAGGCAGGGGATACTGAGAACTGCTCATATTGTGTACGGACAGCCCTAGTGGATGTATCAGACTGCGTGAAGTTGTAAGGGTGCAAACTGCCATACGCATGGGTTTTACACAGAAAACTTGAAAAAAAATGTAACACAATAAAGCAAACGGCAATATCAATTGTTTTACGCTAAATGGTTTTTCCAAATTTTAAAGGGACCAAACTTATTCACAGCCCCAGAATCAGTGCTTCATGCATCCTCCTTTTGACTATTCATCCACGGAGAATTTCTCCATCTCCACTAGATTTGTTGCTGAATTCAGGTCTGGAGATTGCATCGGCTAGTAAAGAACATTGATTTAGATGTGTTGGCTCAACCATTTCTTTGTGGATGGTAAATTGTGCTTGGGTTCAGTATCTTGCCGCTATGTCCGTTTTTGACCTAGCTGGAGCCTCCTACCCGAAGACATTCGAATTTTTTAGAAGGGTTTTGCCGAAATGTCCAGACAAATGTCCATACATTCTTAAATTCATTGTTCAATTCAACCCAAGGCATCAGAACCAAAAGATGCAAAACAGTCCCAAAGAAAAGTAGTTCCACCTCCATATTTCACCAGTGGCATAATGTTTAGGCAACATTAGTTGCACATAAATTGGCATACTGGCCTTTTGTATGATGATGAATCTTACTGAAGGATCTCCTTGCTACTATTCTGTTTGGTAACACAACAGTCCTGTTGAACTGTATGGAAATAGGGTTTCAATTAAAGCTTCCAGAAAGTTCCAGGAACTGTATTTGAATGTCCAGACAAGAAAATGCTGACAAAGGATTAGTTTGTCCAGACTGTGTTTTTTCTAATTAAAATACGTGAGCTTGCAGTTGCATGGGTTATAATCCCAATATAAAAGAAAGGTAATAAATATTAAGTAATGTTCTGAAAGTCTCACACAGTAATTTTACGTATACAGTGGCATGACAGTCCTGACCACGAACCTTATAGTTGTCATTTAAGATTTTCTTTATTCTGCTGTGACTTCAATATAGACACCAGATACTGGGTTCGATCATTATAATGTACAGTATATGATCTAAAATGGTAATTTTGAATAAAGGTCATGTAATAACAAAATTGTTTTTATGATTTACACCTCAATATTATTTCTAAACATATTTTTTATTTGGAGGTCATTCAATGTTTGATTAAACTGTGTGAGTGCATACATCAGTGATTGATCCAGAAAGCAGCCCAGGGAATCCCTTTAATAATTTAGGACATTCGCATGGACCTTCCAAATCTCAAAATACCAGGTCCACTATGGATGGGTGATTATCTTAAGTATTTATGCATGTAAACTAAAGAAAGAATTATTTAACAGCAAGTGAATTAAAGGAAACATGCTGTGCTATGGATGGTAATGTGGAAAGAAGGATGATGGAGACTTCCTCAATTCTAACTGTTGGAATAGATCTGCATTGGGAGTGATTGGGTTTAAGTCACATTAATGAAATGCAATTTTTGCCTCGAAGAGCGGTAGCAGAACTAGTTTAAGCTCCTAGTTTTAAGTTGTGTAACATTGAAACAATTGCTGTTAATACAGGTGATGAATACACAAAATAGGAGTACAATGGCTGCAGATCCTGGCCATTGCAAAGTGCTCATTATGACATCTGTCAATCTAACGAATCTACCAATTCGCCATTCTCCTATGCCTTACAAAACTATCTTGGAGCTATGCTACTAAAGAAACCGAATCACTCTTCAAAGTTTCATAATAAACTGTTAAAATTCCACTTTGAAAGTTATACAGATCATCATATTTTTTTAATGTCTTGTTTAGGCATTCAACTTTCATGTTGGTAGGTATGTAAAGTGAAATGTAAATTCCTAAATTAGCCTAAATAGTTATAGAATTGTATGTATTTTTAATAAAGAATTACATTATGTGCAATAGTATGTGGACGGACTGAAGAAATAAGGCGAAACACCATTCAAACAAGTATAATAAAGCCAATACACTTACATTGTAAAATTATACTTTATAAGTAAAGCAAAATGTGAATTTTCCATTTCATGTTAGCTTTCTGAAAGTGTCTCCCTAATGGGAATGTTCCTATATTTATTTGCTTAATGTTTTGCACAGCTTACTATAACCTCAGGGGTATATCATACCCTACCCAGAGTAATTTGTCTTAGTTCCCTTCAAAATATTGTCATTACTGGGGAGGCACCACATCA